TGAAGAGCAATGATGTCAATGTAGAGATGTGCCCAGTTTAAGCCATGGTCTTTGCAATTACTTGCTATGCATCAGAAAGCTGAAAAATTACTAAGGATGATAGAAGAAGAATTTATGTCTTTGAGTTGTGGTGCTGGAGAAGAGTGTTAAATATACCATGGACTTCTATGAGTACAAACAGGGCCGACTTAGAAAGGGAGAAACCAAGGCTGCTCCTTGGAGGCAAGGATTTTGAAGCTCCATTTGACATATTTTGGGCATGTGGCCAGGAGGGGCCAGTCCTTGGAGAAGGACATCATGCTTGGAAAGGTGGAGGGTCAGCACAAGAGAGGAAGACCCTGGATAAGATGGATTGACTCATTGACTACAATAGATGTGTCAGAGACAATGAAATTGGCTCAAGATAGAGCAGGGTTCAGAACTGTTGTACATAGAGCTGCTATGAGTCAGAGTTGACTTGGCAGCACTTAACAATGTCAAGTCTCAGTGGATCACGTGTTGTTGTTACTTTTGTTAAGTGCCATCAAGTTGACTCTGACTCATAGCAGCCCTTATGTACAAAGCTCAGAAGCCTACTCTGTCCTGAGCCATTCTCACTGACTCCGACACACCTACCCCCCTTTTGCCCTAGTTACTGTATCAGTCCATCTCATCTGGGGTCTTCCTCTCCTATGCTGTCCTTCCACCTTTCCGAGCATGATTTTCCTTCTCTAAAGACTGGTTTTCCTGGCCACATGCCCACAATATGTGAAATGGAGCTTCAAAATCCTAGCCTCCAGGGAGAAACTTGGTTTCACACTCTCCAAGACTGACCTATTTGTTTTCTTAGTCCATGATATGTTCGGGACTCTAGTACCACAACTCAAAGTCATCAATTCTTCTGTCATCCTTAGTCATTGTCCAGCTTTCTGATGCATAGCCAGTAAGTGCAAAGACAGTGGGCTGGGTCAGGCGCACCTGAGATGTCAGTCTCTAGACCAGTATTGCTTCTCAGTACTCTGGAGAGGTCCCTGTCTATCGATTTTCCAAGTGCAATTCGTATTTTAATTTTCTGACTGCTGATGCCAAAACTGTTGATTATGAAGCCAAGCAAGCTATAACTATTAACAACCTCAATCTCTTCTCCATCCGTCATGGTGCTGCCAAGTTGACCCAGTGGTGAGAATCTTTGTCTTCTTGATATTGAGCTTCAATCCATATTGGAGACTATGTTGTTGTTGTTGTAATGTGCC